ATTGATGTCAAACTCGGTCAGTTACATCTGTGGACCAAGCCTCATATGGGTTGTTCACAGAATTTGGCCAAAGGTCACCTAATGGTGAGTAGAGGTCATTTCACTGAAACAGGTCGAATGCTTTTTTGCCAAAATTCTTCACCTGATTGAACATTTTTTGTCAGTTACATGCTTAGCCCATACCCCATGCAGCATTTTAGTATATTTCAGGTAGTGGTCACTCAGTGGTCATTTTGCTATATCTGCCAAATATCGTGGCCGATACCAGCCAAATTTGGATAGTATCTTTCTTGACCTGAGTCATGGTCACTAGTGGTCATTTTCGTTAATATGCAAAATGCTTCTTTTCCCACAGTACCCAACAAATGTCAATGTTGGTCAGTTTTATATTTGAACCAAGCCTGGTTGTTCACAGAGTTTGGCCAATGGTCACTTAATGGTCAGTAGGGGTCATTTTATTGAAACAGGTAAACGCTTTTTCTTGCCAATATTCTTCACCAGATTTGAATATTTCTTTCGTCAATTACTGTACATGCTCAGCCCATACCCGTAGCACTTAAACAGTTAAGTGGATTTGGGAGCAATGGTCACCTTGTGGTCAGTGCGAGTCAGTATGCAGAAAAACCGATCAAACGGCTATTTAGGCGGATATCCGTGCTTCCTGAAGAACATAGCAATAGTTGGGTAATTCTGCGTGAAAATTTATTTAATCTTCAGAACTACAAGCATCTCAACCTCAAATGTGGTATCAAATAAGAGGGGACAACAAGACCTTTTACTTGATTGGTGTGCCATTGTAGGGAGTGTGGTAAAATATTTAGCTGTTTTGGTGTACACACCGAAACAGCTCTTGTTTTTGTTTTTTGGCTTTTTCGCAAAATTTGCGAAAAAGCCTTTCTTTTTGTTCTGATTTTTTTTGGCTTTTTCGCAAAATTTGCGAAAAAGCCTTTCTTTTTGTTCTGATTTTTTTTTTTTTTGGCGCCAAAAATCCCATAGACTTTGTACACGATTTTTCTCTGCAGCACTTTGGGTATTAATCTTTGTCAGACATCATTCAAAGTTGGCATAAGCATAGTCCCTATAGCACAGATGTGTCCCGAAGATTGACGTCATGGTGACTTCATCGACTAATTTATTACAGAATTTTGAATATTTAATTTTGCCCATAGACTTTGTACACAGAAATTTAAAAACAATTGTTGATTTTCAAAGGGTATTTTCGACTCTTTGCCAGTAATTCATTTACACCACTCTTTGTCGAAGCAAAGACCCTGATTCAAACAACATTGTGTGATGATGACGTCATGATAGCAATTAAATTGTGACACTTTTAATATTTAAAAATGCATAATAAATCAACCGTATGCGTCCGCAGCATTCTGTTGCCGGCAAGTGATAGAGTAGGTTGAAGTCTTTATTTCATTCAGTGTGCGTGCAATCACGTGACCCTTGCTTCCGGTCGTAAAAGCCGAAACCGGAAGTGGCTTATTATTTAAAAGTGGTAATAGATATGAACTAAAACACTGTGTTAGTCTCTTGGCTGATAGTATTCTTCAAAACACCTACCGATGACGTCATGCAATCTTCGAGCGCCCTCTAGCGACAGGTTGAAAATTTTCAAAAATGTATTTTGAATAAATGTCTGTGGCGAAGTTTGTCGGAATCGCCTAAATATTGGTGTATATGATGACCTTGACCCACTTAAGTCGTGCGCGAAGTTTTAGGCGTATGACGTCATCAGACCGGAAGTTATTATGAAAAGACCCCTTTTCCTTTGAAAATTCCTGAAAAATCAACCATGGAAGTTTTTATATTAGTTTTTACTTTAAATGTTGATTGAAGGGTAGATCTAAAACATTTCAAAGCTTCGAGGCAATAAGCGAACTCGGACATGCCCTGCGCACGCTTAAAACTTCAGGTTGACAATAGCTCTGCTCTAAAACATGCACAGAACGTCTATATGTACATTATACAAATATAACATGGTTTGAGGGTGGACAGTCGATATTCGCTCCCCGAGGTATTGGAAGTTGACAAACTAGTTCCCGAGGCGAAGCCGAGGGAACTAGTTTGTCAACTTCCAATACGGAGGGGAGCTAATATCGACTGTCCACTCGAAATAAACCATGTTATATTTGTTTTACTATACCTCATACATATTCAGTTGCCGAATTTTGTTTTATTATTATGCACCTAAAACAAAATTTGGGGAAACTTGTACAGCTCACCAAAAGATTCAACTTCAATTACTAGTTCGGTTCGTTTGCAATATAATACAGTTACTACAGTTGTAAATACAGTTGTTTGCAATGTGTACAACTTCTTTTGTACAGGAGACATCTTTACACGGTCTATACATTTTCTCCAGTACGGCATCATTGAGCTCTGTAAATTAACATTTACGCGAACCGTGCAACCCATGCATCTCTCCCGTGCGATGTTCGCGGGTGCGTACTGCACCCGTGCGACAGTTCCTCGATTGCTCTGTAAAGCGCATGCGTAGTAGACTGTCGCACTGGTAACCCTTGCGACAGTCTACTACGCATGCGTATTTACAATGTGCGTGAATCCTCGCAAGCGCATTTGGTAAACAGCAAGAATAACATCTGGCACGTGATGGTGAATTGACCTGTGAACGTTCGGCTCTCGATCATGAATATGTATGAGGTATAGTAAACACGTACTTTACGCACATACATCGTATGTCAGTCAGCCTGCAGAGCTTGTGTTGCCGAGGTCAAATCCTGTCCACATCACAGTGACCGTTTTAGCCGATTTTCGGCTAACTTTGACAGATTTTATGTTTATGCATGCACATAGTCAGGGACGTATAATAAAAAATCATGATGCCGAAAAGCCCTATGTAACGTATTTAAAGGTGCAGTTTTTCTGCAGTGGGATTTTCCACAAGTCTTTTCCAATACAACACTGATATCTTACTGAGTAGTTCTGAACTTCAGCCGAGAATTACTATGAGAAGGAAAGAGAAATCGTAGTTTTTTTCGTGCTGTCATTCGATTGAACATATTCCTAAGGGTCAGAATATCAAGTAATATTTCATAAAAATGTTTCAGTTCAAAGGCAAATTACAAATTTAAAGGTGCAATTTTTCTGCAGTGGGATTTTTTTAGCCCGTTAACTTTGTACACGTGTTAGCCCATTGACTTTGTACACGTTGTCAAGCCACCATTTCTATAACTTGGCAATCTGGAATCGTCATCAATGTTACAGCCAAAGAAGACCCTCATACAAAAATTATGCCAAGACTATGGCGTCATTATGACGTCATCACCAAATTTTTTTTATTGATTCTTGAAATTTACGTGCATATTATGAAGTCCTATGTCTACAGAACTGTAAGTCTGATTGGGTTGAAACTTGGTATGTGGCTAGACCGGGATGTGTTATAGGTAAACAAAAAAACAATTAGGTGATGCCATGATGACGTCATCCGGAGATTTTATATGAATATTAGAAGTTTTTGACCTTTTAGCCATATCTCATGAACGTAACATGCAAAATTCAAAATTCTTTGTGTATTTGGTCTGTTAGGTAAAAGGTATTTGCAGAAAATTTTGAAAAAAATATCTGACATCATTATGACATCATAAAAATGCAAATTTTCAAAATACATATAAGGAAAGGTCTGACTGTCATGAAACCTAGTGGGTAGGTAAATAATGGTACTAGTATACAAAGTTTAAAGTGACGTCATGATGACGTCATCGTTTGGTTATTATAATTTTTTAGATATTTCTAATTTTATTCTGCTTCCACAAGTTGCACACTTTCTTTCATCGGATTGACATTAAATTTGGTTCAAACCAAAATCACAATGACAAAATGGGCATTGAGAAGGGTCTTAAGGATGACATCATTGCAGGGCAAGTGACATCATTTGATAAAATTATACTTTAGGAATTATTTTAAGCGTTTTGAACAACCTTTAACTGCATGAAGCACTCTGAAAAGTGACTGGAAAAGGACAAACGAAACAAATATTTGTAAAATGCGAAAAAGCCCTGTGTTCTGTTTGCAAACAGACATACAACTCTAGTTTTTTTTTCTATTTTTGTTCCACTTTTTTTCCCATAGGATAACACGTGTTTTTGTTCTACAGGGCACTTTTTGACTTTTTTCAAATCCAATCGACTTCAAACCTGGCACACACTTAGACCACCATCTGAAGATGTATGCCGAATCATGACGTCATCATGACGTTATCACGTGTCATGTGACATCATCCTAAAAATGCATAATTTAAGGCCTTATATCTACAGAACCGCAAGTCTGATTTGGTTCAAACTTGGTATGCATGTATTCCGGGACGTGTTATAGACAAAAATTGCAGTGACGTCGTTATGACGTCATCATGTGATTTTATATGAATTATTCCATTTTGGACCTTTTAGTCATATCTCATCAACGGAACATGGTAAATTCAAAATTCTTTTTGTAAAAGGTTTAAGTCATAGATAGATACACAAAATTTCGTAAAATGTGTGACGTCATGACGTCATAAAAAACCGTGATTTTTGATTCACATATAAGGGTATGTCCGATCGTTATGAAGCTTGGTGGGTAGGTAGATATTGATAAAAACATTGAAAATCTGAAATGATGTCATCGTGACATAAAATTTTCAGTTGATGGTGGTGGCTTTCCTACTTATGCCATCTCGAACGGACCAAATTATTGAATTTCAACACAAAGCAAAATATTTTTAATTCAATCAAGTAGGGGAAAAGCTGTATGTTCTGTTTTCGACAGGCATACACTTCTACTTGATGTATTTATTGTTTTTAACAGTTTTTAAAAAGTCACTTTTGGGTGTGTTACAGAAGTAAGTTTCTTTGAGATGTTAAAAGTAATGTGATATTTTTTATGGAATTCATGTCATATATTGCATATTTTGTGTAAACATTAAAAGTGTTAGGCCTCTTGAGGGTAACAGTGAGTGGCTATGATATGTTTATATGCTTGGTATCTTTTTCGTGCAGCGGCACCCACAACAACTGAGACAACCACAGTCCGTGTATCCACCACTGAGGCTCCATCCACCACAGCTCCTCCATCCACCACTGAGGAAATCACCACAACTGTTGTGAGCACAACACCTGAGTCAACTACAACACAGACCACAACGGTGAAGTCAACCACAGGTAGTTTTATTTTCCAATATGTAAGAATGGTAATTGGCCTCGTGTTCAATACACAACATACCAGAAGGCTTGTTTAGTTGGAATCAAATGACATACTTGTTTGTTATTCTCGATCCTTACATCATCTGCTAGGATAGTGTGCACTTTATATTCATATTTGCTTTATTAAAGCATAAATTACATCCAAGTTATTAAAGAGATAATATAATAAGAAAGCTAATAGGGAATTTATGTTGTTTGGCTGTTAAATAATATCAATGTGTTAAAATGTGAGAAAAACTGAGTCTGGGGTCATGTAGATAAATACCTTTATGCAAGTAACAAGTTGCGACATAGGTTTCATGTGTGTTTATGGAGTCTATATTGGTTAAGCATTATTCCAACTTTGGCACATTATTCCAACTTTGGCACAAGTAATTCGGTCATTGGACATTTCTTTTGCAAAATGGACAATTTACAGAGCTTAACAAATATATATATATGTTTTGAGAGAGGAAAAAAAGGCTATTTTAATTTCGGGGTTGGGAAGTTTTTTATTTCAATTCGTACTGGACTTTGTGTAGACATATTAAGGAAGTTTGCATGCTTTGCCTTAAGAACTAAGCAGGCAGGAGTTCACTAGCTCGATTCCCACCCCAGTAAGCTTGTAAACTCACAAGCGCTTGGACATCACTCTGTATACAGTGCTTATGAAATGACATTGATGAAAGTCAAAAACACAGTATTAATTGTAAATATCACAACTTAGTCCCAAATTAAACTTAGGTTTTCTGAAACCGTTTTGTTTTTGTTTTGTTTTTAGTTTACAAATTAAAAAAAGTCTTTACCCCAGCAGACCTGTCTTAACAGGGGTGTCTGTCACTTCGTCCCAATACCAGTTCACCACATGTCACTTTTCCTCCAACCAGTTCAACATCATTACCATTTCGCCTCATTGCAACTTTGCCCCATTACCACTTGGAAGTGCCTCATACCATTTTGCCTCATCACAACTTCATAAATCACCATTTTGCCCCTTGCAGCTTCCCTCAAAATTAGAAGTTCAAATCATCTTGGAAGTGAAGCTTTACAATACATAGCACATGCTTTGTGTGTTTCATTTTTCATTTAATTTTTGAGTCCTAGGCTTAATCCTTTTCAATTCATTTCAATTAATTTATTATTCCCCATGATAAAAAATATATACAATTCTGCACACTGAGTGTCAAAAACAGTGACATTAAGGTTTAAAAACTTAAACCACAAATAAATAAATCAAAAACAAGTTACAGTCGCATGAAAACATGTGAAATATTTTTACGCATGAAATGTTTTTTTTTTAAATCTTGAGTTCTAAAGATAAATACTTAAAGCTTTATGTTGGAGTTTGAGGTTGTAATGTCATCACTTTTTTGTAGTAGCTGAGTACAGTCAGGTGTTGGTGCAGGGTTATTTTCAGAACCGTTTCCACGCTGATTGTGCTGCAACTGCGGCACGTAACAGGTGCCTGATTGTTTTGGTAACAAGGTTCTTACTTGGCTCTTTCTCCTTTCGGTACATTTTCAGCATTTTTAACTTGGCCTCTTTGAGTATTTTTCTGTTGTTTTCCTGAAAATTTCACATTAGATTAATTGCACTTTCAGCTTCATATTTTATATCAATATGCCTAAGAATGTTAATCAATTAAAACTCACAACAAACGTTTAAGACATCAAGCACGTTTTTGCACAGCCCTCTCAGAAAACATTTTGTTTCAACCAATATTTGAAAAATCTTACAATTTATTTGCAAAAATTAAATTGAAACTAGAAAAGCTATGGGGTGAAGTGTCAATGGGTGAAGTGGGACGAAGTGGCAGCGGGGTGAAGCGGTAAAGGGGTGATGTGGAAATGGGGCGTACTGACATGGGGCTGACATGGGGCGAAGCATAAGATGCAATGGGTCGTGCATAAGATGCCATCTTTCTTTACTACCAGCCTCTATTATGCAAGTTGGTCATATTCTTTCCTTTGTTTATCACAAGTACAACCCACAGAATCTACAACAATTGTTAGTACAGTCGGAACCACCACAGTACCATCAACAACTGGTGTGCCATCAACAACTGAGGAGGTTACCACCACAACTGTGATAAGCACCACTCCAGAAGTATCAACCACTGAGAAGGTCACAACAGTCGTTAGCACCACAGAAGCCTCCACAACTGGTGGGTAGGCCTATAGTTAACTTCGATCAACTGTTATTGTTGAGCCTTTGTCCGGGTCTTACTAGTATAGAAGAGTTTGCACAGATCAGCAGAAATTGATGAACAAATTGAATCCAAAATGAGGATACATAAGTTGATTATGAGTTTCTTGTTATATCTTTGATATCTACAGAGGTTCCACCAACCACAACTGAAAGGACAACCACACATGTTGTAACCACCAAGGAACCCTCTACCACTGCCCAGCCAACAACCACTGAAGAAGTATACACAACAGTTGTTACCACTACTCCTGAATCAACTACGGAAGAGAGAACAACTGCTCAGTCCACAACAGGTAATATTAAACAAAAAACAACATGGCTGAGGACTTTCTGGACCACATGTATTTTTTTTCCTTTGACTACCCCCTCCCCCCCTCCCTGATGCAAAGGAAAGGGAGTAGAGCAGGCAAAATTTGTCTAATCGTTTGAGGGATAAATTCTGAGGCGGTGTTTAAGTAAGGGTTGGAAAGGGCGTGTCAAAGTTACATTGGAAAGAATGCGTATAACTGAGGCGATGGTGTGGTGATATAGCTTGCGACGTCAGTTCAGTCTAGAGCAATTTTAAATGGTTCAGCTTTAAAAAAAAAATATATATATATATAGCTTTATGTAAACGTTAGAAATGTTTTATTTGCTGGCAGCTAGAGTTTTTGCTCATGGAGTTTTACCCCTGGTTTTTAATCCAGTGGGGGTTTTGAGGAGTGTGTTACTGTGTTTTGTAATTAAACAATTAAAGAGCCAGCTCCAACTGGTTAACTGCCCCTTGGCAAGCCGTATCCTATACTGTAGTAATATGGTGTATATTAATTGGTGTTGTGTCCATTGGAAAGGAGGTATCATTAGAATTATATTTATAAGGGAGGTGAGAACTTAATGAAGCACTATCTGTCTAATTATTACAGAGATGGAAACCACGAGAGCATCTACGACTCGAGAAGTAACCACAACCGCAGGGTTGACAACTGCGGAACTTACCACCATTGCTGTGACCTCTTCTACACCACAGCAAACAACCACAGAGGAGTTGACCACTGTGTTGGTAACTACATTGGCAGGCACGACAGGTATTAAATAGTATACAAATATTGAGTGGCTCAGAGTGAAATGGGGGTAAAATCTACTGAGCAAAAATTTTCCTCCCCTTTCACAATTTAAAGCCACTCAATATTTGTTTTATTTAACTGGCATATAGATCCTTGTCATTTGATATATTTGAAATGTTATTTCAATATAAAATTGGTGGAAATTTTATTTCTCTCTTCCAAATCACCCCATCATGAAAATGTTAGAACCCAACTCTGTATAGCACTGGCTCTTTGGAACAGTACCCGCTACGTGCATTGTTGAACGCGCACATCAACATGCATTTTGCACACAAATACCGCGTCATGGAACAAGAATATATGATCCTAATTGCTGAATAGTATTCCGCATTCCCCATGCGCGAACATGGCGAATGGGACTTTTTGAGCCCCGGCGTGGAATGGGAGCAATAGCAAATGTTGCGTGATGTAAGTTCCACCAATCAAATGACAAGGATCTGTATGTCAGTTATGTACTAGGCCCCGACAGACGAACTTTGGCAACTAGATCTGCATAAATGACATTTAACATAAGCATCCCCATTTTCTTTTCTGTTTATTTCTCTATCTAGTTCAAAGTACTTGAATTTGAAACTGTTCAGTTTAATCTTGTTGTTTTTTCATGGCTTTGCTGGTTTTATTTAAATACTGATATGTTTATATGCTTGGTATCTCTTTTGTGCAGCGGCACCCACAACAACTGAGACAACCACAGTCCGTTTATCCACCACTGAGGCTCCATCCACCACAGCTCCTCCATCCACCACTGAGGAAATCACCACAACTGTTGTGAGCACAACACCTGAGTCAACTACAACACAGACCACAACGGTGAAGTCAACCACAGGTAATGTTTATTTTAGACTTAAATTGTCAAAGTTATTCAAGCTTAATTTCACAAAGTTCCCTTAAAAATGCTACATTTATATTTTTCTTACTGTAAAGCAATAAGGACCAGATTTTATCTTACTGTCTTGTGCCAGGAATCGATAAGATTAACTTTACCAATCAGCATATCCTATACCCAAACCAAAACAATTCAAGGGGCTTGTTGCATCCTGGAATAAAATGCACTTAAATGTTCAAAACCTGAGAAATTTGAAGAGGTTAAAACATCATTTATATAACCAATACTTTTTGCATTCTCGTCAACTAAAGGTGCTTCTACAACAGAAAAAACAACAACCCAAACGACTTCTAAAATTGCCACCACAATCCCTTCAACTTCTACAGCCCCAACAACTACTGAGAAAAAGACCACCATAGTTGTTTCTACAACTACCCCTGAATCTACAACTGAGGAAGAAACCACGACCATAGCGACAACACAGGAATCTACCACTGGTATGTTGAATAACGATCATATCTTATTGAAATCAAAGACAGAAATTTATAATGGCTAATTTGCATGTCATCCTTCCATCCTTTGGGAACTGAATTGATAAGCAAATCCTCACCAAAATTTAAATCTACTCAGTGTCCAAGACAAGTTAATTAAGCTATGTTAATTCTGTGATGTCGAATGTTTGTAACACATGGCTGCAAAATATATGTAAAGAGTTACATGACAGGTAAATCTTTGCACTTTGTAAAAAAAATGTTTCAAAGCAGAAGTTTCTTCGACCACTGAAGTGATCACTACACGTATCTCTACCACAGAGGCCCCTTCAACTACCCTTGGGCTGTCAACAACTGCCTTGCCATCAACCACAGCTCAGCCCTCCACAACCAAGGAAGTAACCACAGTTGTTAGCACCACCCCTGAGGCGACAGCAACCGAAACGACCACAGTGGAAACTACCACCTGTAAATGGCTTTGATCTTTTTATCAATGGATAGAGTTTGGTTCCCATTATATTGTTTATTTTCTCAACTTGTGGCCTGAAGACCAACTTACAAAATACAAGAGACAAAAAAATATTTGTGCACATGCAATGCACAAAAAAAATGTTGGTGGAAAAAACGCTCATACAACAGTAAAAATACAACAAGATTTACTTATGTTTGTGGACAAACACATGGCTGTTTCGACATTTCGTTAATGTATGTTCAAGTCGAGTTATAGACTGATAGTTACCTGTATTACACATCCCAACGTAGGTACATACCAAGTTACAACACAATCAGACCTATAGTTCTGTTGATATAGTCTTAAGAAGCCTATTGACATCTTTCATTTCGGTTAAGGACAGGCCCGGATTATCACGTAGGCAACTGTGCCTAGGGCCTACGAAAAATTGAGGGCCTACGAAAATACCGCAGTGTGCCACAGGCCTACCCACTCACACACAGAGAAAAGTTTTTATAAGGTTTTAGGGTCTCTCTCAGAATTGTCGATTTCACCAACTGACGCTGTTTCAGCATGTAGGCAAACATATATACGCCCTACTCTGTCGTTCTGAAGCACAATGCCATTCATGGGCGTCGAACGATGGGGGACGGGAGACATGTCGTTCCCCTCCCCAACTATTCTCGTCCCCGAATAAAAAGATCGACTACATTTTGATTTTATAGCTCCGAATAACTAATTCAGTGACCCCTAACTTGAAAATGATGTATAAATGATGATCTTGTGCTAAAAAAAAAAAAGTGGTCAAAAATTGCCTCAGATCGCACCACAGAGCGTCTAGAATAAAAAAATAAATAAATAAAAAAAAAAATCGGAGTAGGGCCTACGGAACACTGGTTCCTAGGGCCTACGAAACACTTAATACGGGCCTGATTAGGGACACTGTGTTTTTACAAAACTGCCAGCGGGATTGCCAGAGGGATTGCGCAAGTCTCACATGCAGTATTTTTTTTGTCCAACTTATACACGATATAACAAAACAATTGTTGACTGCTGCGATGTGGGATATATAGTTTTTAACCCCTTCGGGGCGCCCCTCAGGAGTTAAACACAGCATATCCCACATAGCAGCAGTCAACAATTGTTAAATATGTAATAACAATAATAATAATGCCATTTCAAAATGCCTTCCATTTATATCACCTACTGGTACTGAACAAGCATTACAATAGAAATAAACATTTAATAAGGTAATTCCAATATTGGAAGTACTAAAAAAAACATGCAATTTCATGTTTCCATTCAAAACATATAGAAAATAGAAGGTTTCTTGTTTTGATATGTGTTACTTTTGTTACTGTTTCTCAAATTCCAATGATGGAATGATGCTTATTGTTTTGCAAGTCTGTTACTCCCATTCTTGTTTGCTCTTTATTTCTTCGGGCAGTGATTTCTACTACAGAGGAATTAACGACTACAACCATCGTAACAACTCAAGAAAGAACCACTGTGCCAACAACCACTGAGACCCCAAGTACTACCGAGGAAGTGACAACCACAACGTTGATCACCACATCTCCTGAGTTAACAACAACAGAGGAGTCAACAACAGTAGTCACTACCACTCAAGCACCACCCACCACAGGTACACAGTTTGACCCTCAACTCTTCTCAATATTTCGTACCCAACCTTTGAATCTTAAACAGTATTAAGTTGCACTGTAAGGGTGTTGTATCTCCCCTAAGTTTCTCATAATCCATTTGATTTAGTTGGCAAGTTTGAGTAATGTTGTTTTTTTTTTTCCATCCACGTTAGGATTAATAACTACCGAAGCCCCATCAACTACTGTGAAAGAAACCACTAAGGTGACAACAGAGGGTGAGTTTCTTAAGTGGTATTATAATCCTATTTTTCCACAGGTCTAAGTCAATTCTAAATCATTATTGAATATATCCTTGAAATAAATAAAGCTGAATGGTTTGTTAGCAGGTGACCTATAATGTCATCTTCTTATTGTTGAAACAGTAAAATCTTATACTAGGTCAATTGACTTGCCAAATTTGACAGCTGTTCATACATTTGATTGTAATAAATATGCGCTTAACTATTGATTCTGACTCATTGTTATTTAAGGGCCAACAACAGTGAAATCTACTACGACTGAGAAAGTGACCACCTCAGAAGGAACAACTGTGACTGTCACAGAAACTACCACAGAAGGTGGAACAACTGTAACTGTAACAACAGCAGGGAACGGACGTAATGCACATTTTATTTGATTTTTTTCCCCTTTAATTTTATTTGAATGCAACACTTCTCAACTCACTGAATAAGATCCAGAACTTGGTTCTTGTCCAGAATAAATATTTTCATGTCCAGAATGAATATTTTCTCTTGACAACAATGAAATAATAATTGTGCTTTGTACCTTTTCTCAATTTTGCAGCCCCACCTGTCTGCAAATTTAATGATCAGGAGTATAACGTAAGTGAATTCCAGTTTTTGTTAAAACCTTTAATAAAAAGATGTAATATCTTTTGAACGTATTGTTTCAGCATTACACAGTTTCCGTGTACACTTCATGCACTGGCCATTTTGGAAGAAGAAAAAAACGACATCTGTAATAATAGACCGATCCATAAGGCCTCATCCACTGGGCACGTGGGCTGTCACATAACGCGCCTCTCTCCCACGTGCTAACCACACTTGTCATGATACAAGTAACACTCATGCTAACTTTTGTCAGTCAGCGGGTTGTATGAATACAAACTTGCAAATGCTAAGAAGTTTAAGCAAAAATTAAAAACTCAACTCAACAGCATTTTTTGTTGGAATCTGTCAGGATTGGATACAGTACCCCTAAACTGACAGTCTTTTACATTGGGTTGGTACACCTCCAGAATCAAAGTCGGAAATATGTGTGTGTTGTTTCCCATGGTGTTGGAATTTGCCGGGGGGGGGGTATGGTTTCTAGTAAATCATGCCAGGGGGTTAAGGAAAAAGCAAATGCTTGAATCTCGTATGAATACAACTTTTCTTTTCACTTGACAACAGGTAGCAAATGCTTTTTTACTCTTGGATTGTGTGCGTGGATGAATGATTGTCATTAATCGGATCTTTGTTGTGTGTACGAACTGGCACAGGATTTATACATAGGGTAACAGTCCAAATCAATGTGATACATAAAGTAGTTAATTTGATCAACTGCAGCAAAAATTATGAAGACAATTTTCACCAGCTGCAGAATACAGAAAGTATACTTTCACCATTCATGCAAATTGTAAAGCTCCACAGTGTCCTGGTAGAGAAAGTCACTGTTACATAAAAAAAATTATAGACACATTTGAAAGCTGGTAAAATCATACCAAAATTCCACATACAAAGCTTTTTGTGTATTGAAATATGCACAGAAGCATTTACTTTATATATCAAGGTCCCCAACCCAGTCTTGACAGATAACCAGTAAATACTTGAAATCTAAAGCATTTTGTGCTCCTTTTTATTCATACAAAACGAAATATACGCTAGCAAAAGCTAAAAAGTAAAAACTTTCAGATTTTAGCATATGCGTTTTTGATGCAAGTGAATACATAAAAATTGGTAGTAATTGCAAATGCTATTTTTTTTTTCATACGACCCATTAACACACGGTTGGTTATAATAATAATAATTCCGGAGTCTCTATATTGCGCACGTATCTTCTAACAACTAGGTACTCAAGGCGCTGGAAATTATGTCAATTATTAAAGAAAGGTTATGAGAAATATGAGACCCATTATGGTTTATTAAGGGGCTGAGGCGCATGTTGCAGCCACTGTCGGAAAAAAACAGGGCAAACCCCCTTCACTTAGCGATAAGTGTTACTGGGTTCTTTAACGTGCATTTCACAACACACGTCCCATCCGAAGGACGAATCAATAATGCTAAAGTGCCTTGCTCAAGAGCACAAGCACCATGTTCCCACGGACAGGATTGGAACCCATGTACTACGGCACATGAGTTGAACAACGTAACCACTGGACCACAGCACCCCACACGGTTGGTCAAACATCATTTGGAGAAAAGCGGGTAGGGTTAATGCTAAATGTAAAAACGACAATCCTGTCTCGGGAACATTCAGAAGGAAAAATCAGATGCCTAAATGTCTGGGAAATTTGACTTACATAAATGTTTTTGTCCACTTCTATCACACAGAAAGGCGAATTCATACCCACTGGTAGACCTTGTACTGTGCTTATTTGCGGAGAGGATGGAAATATTATACCAGAGGATGTAATCTGTAACCGAACATGTCCGAATGTAAGTGTACGATAGCAGGCAGCACAATCTGTCTTGTTTGAACATTTAGGCCTACAAAAAATTTCAGCAGGTTCAAACCTTTTCAAAACTTTTCAAAACAGTACCAACGTTGAAAACTGTAGCATTGTCTATACAAACTAAGTTATTTAATAGATACGAATAGTAACATAGATGATTATGCCCACGGTTGATGACAATGTATTTTTTTTAAAACCATTGCTATGACGTCACACTATTGTTAAAAGTGTGGATTCGGAACTACGAATCTGTTACGCTGGTCACAAAGTGTGGATTCGGAACGAAGAATCTTTAGTAAAGTGTGGATTCGGAATTACGAATCCACACTTTGAACACGTCAGACAATTGTTCTCTGTAATGAGCATTAATAGGACCGTCTGCGTGAAAATTCCCTTCCGAAATTATCAATGCATCTTCCCTGTCAGATTCTTCGCCGTCACTGCAAAACCTATTTCGAGTCGGAAAGAAATCATCGTCTGAACTATCAATTTATCAACGGAAGGAGTCGGGACAAATGTTGCAACCTAACGCCACTTTTTTTCTCCATATATCATCTCAATGAAGGGAATTCATTGCAAAAATGATAATAAGACATGAATCTGGGACTGAGAAATATCTCCAATTTTGTTAGGAAATACTTTAAAAAAAATTTCTTGACCTCTCCATAAGACTTTGTACACAATCGCGGAAGTGGCGGCAGGTTGCAACATTTATCCCTAGTCTTTTCATCTCCACTCACTGTTAATGCCAATACTTCTTTTGACGCAATGGTTTAAGTCGAAGAATACACCTGCAAGTGTGAATTCTTAAATTACGAATCCACACTTTCTCGTGTATTCTCCTTAACATATAGAACTGGGAGTCAAACGGCATCTAAAACGTAAGTCATATTTGTTTGTTTTAAGAACATTTGTTTTATTTGTGTTAATAGGGGAAACTGTTGGAAGTAAGCCCGGACAGGTGCTGTCCTGTTTGTGGTAAGTTGAAACTACAACTATATCTACTTCTGCTGGTACTACACAGACATAATTTCAGCATAATTAGTAATCATTCCACTTAACTGGAAGTGAGTTGAGAGTAGGTTTCAGTCCTGTAATCAAAAACCAATCACATGAATAATAAATAGCAGAACTAGATCTGTTCCATAAACAGAGCATAGGGATTGATTTTGTTTATGTTCGTGCATATGGAAGAAGGAAAATATAGCTCCATAACTTATTAAGTTGTTCTTGTTTTCCAGAGATAGGATTAAAAATATGTCCCTCGATGTCGCCTCATGACCATGATGATGTCATCATGACATTCTGTATTTGTTGTCTGTTACATACAAATGTTTAAATATACACTTAAAGGTGACATCACATTGCCATTTAAGACGTTATCATGACATAACTTTGTCTGGGGTCATTTAACATTCGGGGCTTTTTTTTTTGCCATAGTTTGAAATCTATGAATTTATGTCATATTTTGCTAGAAGAAAATCATAACTGTTTCGCTACTCCGAATCGGAGTCGTCTTCCAATAGTTCATATGGTTGGCATAATTAGATGCCGAAACAAACGATCTGGACCCATTTCCAATGCAGACTAAATGTGACTTTTCTTTTCGTAATCGTAAGACAGGTGCAGCGTGCAAATTCCTTGCGCGCTTTGTTACGTAACTCTTTGTGAAGCCGTTTCTTAAAAACGCCTAGTTGCCTATTCAACTTCATTCTCGGTCGAGCAACCTTATCTCGCAATGTCTTATCCGTGCAATATGAATCCTAATCTTGATAATCAAGAGATACTATCGGCCATCATATCGCTGGCTAACTCGATAGACAATAAAGAAGATTCAGCCTTTAAGAGGCAGCGTACCCTCGCCGACAGTCCACCAGACTTTAAAAGTGACGGTAACAAGGACCAGTATCGCAACGAATAAAAGCCCTCCAGCCTAATTGACTCGGCCTTAGCATCGTTAGACGCTGGAGATGTCAACGCAGCCAGAGAGGCCCTCAAACAAGCCAGCACAGAAATCAAACAGCGGCAGAAGCTGATCAAGTTGGCCGATCGTTTCTTTACAAGGTCTGGCCACGGTTAAAGAATACGTCACCGACAATTTAGCAGACGACTCGGATGATGAGAAAGGACTCAGAAAGGCGGAGAAAATGGCGACCAGCAAGAAATCCGAACCGCTAAGAAGTCCAAGACCAAGGCTCGCAATCTTGTACGTCCTTACCCTGCTGCGAGTTCGTTTCGTCCCTACAGCCGGTACACCTATCGTCAATATGTCCTGTTTCCAGTGCGGAATCGTAGGACATGTCCGCTCCAACTGCCCCTCTCTACGGGTCCTCCGACAGCTTCAGCGCCGGTCACAACCTTCAGTCATTGATACCACCACAGCATAGTGACTGGGAAGAGAAGGAATCAACTACTCCTGTCCCATCCGGTGTAAAGGGTAAGCTGAAACCTCGCTTCTTATTTTGGCAAGACACACTTAAGTGTAGTAATTTTTTCAGATGGATACAAGATTCCATTTTATGTCACTCCTCCTGCTGTTTTGCAAAACAATAAGTCAAGTCTATCTCATGCACAATTTGTGGAAACGGCCATCGCGGATTTGCTCGCAAAGAACTGTATCATGCAATGCACTGTTACCCCATACTGTTGCATTCCTTTGACTGTCGCAGAAGGACAAAAGTTGCTATTAGTGCTTGACCTACGACACCCGAATAAGTAAATTTGGAAAGAGAATTTCAAGTACGAAGATCTGAACCACCTTGCTCCATCACTCGGTTACAATCAGTACTACTTTTCCTTTGATCTTGAGTCGGTAGCGCCTGTCACTTATTCACCAAATTAAACGGGCCTATAGTGCACCATTGCCGTCAAATCGGTATCGTCGCATTTTATGTACATCGACGCCGGACTCATTGTCTCATCCGAATTTGAATCAGCTTCAGCCAACGTTTCCTTAGTGCGCAACCTCATAACCTGCAGCGGATTCGTCCCTAGCAAAACAAAAGTGTGTGGTCACCCACTAAAACAATTCAGTACTTGGGTCTTACCATCAACTCCGACGCTTTTCGCTTTAAGGTCCCTCAAAGAAAAATTCACAAAATTTCACGTTCATTTCATCCGTGCTGGATTCCTACCGTGCCATTGAGTCGCGTCACTATTGGTCCAATTCATTTGTTCTCCCTGCTGACGACGTTTCGGAACACAGATTCTGGCTCACGTAATTACAGTCCCTGAATGGTTTTACCATACGAGGCGGGCTAGTCCCTTCTTTGACTATCTATTCCGATGCAGGCGACACAAGCTACGGTTGTTTTGTCGAAGGTCATTGGAGATGGTTTAATATATCATTCAGTCCCGTCTTCCTTGGGTACAAGTTCAGTGTTTTGCCAAACCCCATCATTCGCTTCCATAGCAATTCGTTTTGATCCCTCATTAGCGCCACACACATGGTTAAGACTAGGCACTTGCCCTCATCGCGACTCTCGCCCGTGAGTACTGTTTGCGTATGGTTTATCGTTGTTGATACAGTTATACATGATACTGCGTTCCGTTTAATTGGTCTGATTGCATACTTAATGTATTTTGTGTAGTATATTACAATTTGGAATTGTTTTGATATTCCCATATCGCTTCTCTTTTCCCCCTTTTTTGGCGTTCTCTGCGAGGTAGGCGGCTCTTCCTACCAATAGTACTCCAAAATTGTGTACTTTTGTTCTTTTTACTCTTCACATGATGAAGATATAGTAAAGAAAATAATTTTTTCTTTCGGAAGAATTTTCTTTACGTTATCGTAAGACGGGTGCAGCGCGCAAATTCCTTGGTGTCCAAGGTGCCTTTTCAACTTCATTCTCGGTCGAGCAACCTTATTTCGCTCTCCCGAACCCCCCTCGCCCGCTTGGGCATCAGTACGCAGTGTCATTCGGAGTAAAGGTGCGCGACCTTCGTCCAACACTTGGGGTTTTACGTGGCCACTGTCGGTGTTGGGTGCCGAACTTATGCTGCGCTACTTTGACCTTTGTGTCAAGTTTAAGCGGCCCTGGTTTTGGTTTTTAATAGAACAACTGGATTTTCCAGTTTTTCCACCTGTTTGTGCTGTTTTTATTCTTGTTGTATTTCAGATATTTGGAACAGAATTTCTCACGGCATTGACGACCCGGAAATGCAACTATTGGCCAGACATCACTTGCCTGCACTACTCCTCTCAGCGAAAGCTCCATCCACTACCAAAGCATACAGTTCAGCATGGCACCGTTGGGAAGCCTTGGCGTCATCCAAAACCGAAGTTACCGTCTTCCCAGCTCGACCCATCGATTTCTGCTTGTACTTCTCATCGCTGCTCCCAAGCAAGCACAAGTCTACCACCAATTCCACGGCAGCCGCTGTCAAATGGGTCCACAGTCTAGCCGGTCTTCCATCGCCCACCGACGACCCTCTCGTTAAGATGGCACTTCAAGGTTATAGACATTCTCTGGCTTCAACCCCCCAATCGGAAAGAACCTGTTTTAGAACCTATTTATTTGTTTCTTCTGCTATGCTGGATTTCTTCGTTTCAGCGATCTCAATAACGTCCGGCGTGTAGACTGTAAAACACCAACTTCTACATGCCCAGTCAAAATTGCTGAGAGGTATTTCTCTGCCATAGGTGACCCGGTAGATTCATCACTGTCAGTCGTACATCGAATAACAAGTTCAGCTAAAGGCTTGATGGCCACCGTTCACAGCTTAAGCTACACTAGGACCCGCAAAATTGTTTTACAAGCACTTCGCCCCTTTGTTCCTGATATCAGCAAATTCGGACTCCATAGTCTCAGATCCGGAGGCGCTTCGGCAGCTTCGGCAGCTTTCGAACGCTCTGGTGCCATCCCATCTCATTTTCAAACACGGCAGATGGTCCTCCGAAAAAAACAAGGAATGCATATATTGAGGTAGATGAGAACACTAGTTTAATTCCATCTACGGTTTTGGGATTTAGCAACAGTACATGTTCGAACATTACCTAATCCTTGTTACCATTTTTGGGATACTTGACACGATTTTGTATTATGAACAGTTTATTTAACCTGTCTGCTCAAGTCATTGTTGGAAAAACAATAGATGACTTGTACTTTTGATACTTTTAAATAATAATAGTAATAATGCGATAATCATAATATACAGGTATCACAAGTCCTGAGTCCCCCCCAACATTATTCCTAATTAATGAAATAGAAATGCACGATTTCAACAATATCCCAAATGCAAATGACAGAGGGCACTCTTCTGCCCATCTTGTGAGAAAATGATAGCAATCCAATCACGCATACCAACACGGAGCTCATTTGAATGAAAAAAAGTGCCAAATTAAAAAGTTGCAGTAAATAGCATTGCTCCAATGTACTGGTTTGAGTGATCCTGCAAGCAGGGTAGACTTTCATTAATTAATAACTTTACCTTACAAAAGTTTCCTTGTTTAAAAGGATGTTTATCTAAATCTTACGCAATCTTGGTTATCTAACAGATAATTGCAGACCTTTTAATGCAAAGATGACAAAGAAAATGCAAATTAAGTGTACCGTTTTTGAAATTGGTTTTCTTGTTCTTCATCTTCCAAGTAGAGACTCTTGTTTTTACACGGGAAATTTCAAAAAGCTCCGTGTTGGTATGCGTGATTGGATTTCTATCATTTTCTCACAAGATGGGCTGAAGAGTGCCCTCTGTCATTTGCATTAGGGATATTGTTGAAATCGTGCATTTCTATTTCATTAATTAAGAATAATGTTGGGGGGAACTTGGGACTTGTGATACCTGTTTACCCCCTGTAATAATAACCGTCGATTTATCTACCACAGTTAATACAGCATGATGTTGTCGCTCTACAAAAACAGAATTATTTGTAAGATTTTAATTACATCTTTGTCCTCAATATCAAAATAAACAAAAATTATATATGTATATTTTTTGAGAAGCAACCTGGATTTGCACTCAGATTTTCCCCCCAGAGCTACATGATTAATTTGAAGACCTTTATGCTTTATTGTATAGTTTTCTTAAGATCCTAATTAATTGATTAAATCATATAATTAATTTAAATCGTTTATAAATGTAATTTTTATACAAGTAAATTTCGAAACCACTACAGTAAACTTGTTTCAACAACTTATGCTCGCGTTGTGATGTGTAACTGTTGTAATGTGGAAGCAGATAATACAGCAACGTACGCAGTTGTTGTGACGTGCCTGTAACTTCTGTGATGTGGGAAGTATAGTATACAGCGAGGTAGGCGTCTCTTTCTACCAATAAAACTCCAAAATTGTGTACTTGTGTTCTTATTACTCTTCACATGAAAGATAAAGTAAAGAAAAGAATTTTCTTTCGGAAGAATAAAGAAAGAAAGCAAGCTTTCCACGATATTTATACAACGCATGCTCGGACCAACTCGCCCTACAATGCAGACCAACTCACCAACCATCACCAAACATCCCTTCTGACAGGGCGAGAAAACGCATGGAGTCATTCCCCCCTCCAAGTCCAGATTTATTAGCCATAGTCATTTGTTTATATAGGGTTTACTGATGGATCCTCATTGTCTAACAACCAAACTGTAAGCAAAATGTTGATTCAGAGCCCTCCCACTTCTAGGAACCGTTTCACAAACCCCGTATGACTAATTAGGCAAACAAGTATACCTGTCAATTGAGCTTGCTTTCCTACTGGCTTGTAGCAACAACCCGACGTTGGAGCGTACTCCATGGCCATGTCAATTGAACCTCGCCAATCGACATGGCCATTGGAGCACGCTCCAACGTCGATGGAAACCGATTGCAGATGGAAACCAAATTGGTTAGGGGTTAGGGGTTAATCTCAACACTTAGCAAGTGTAAATTGGCATCTTTTCAAAACATGACTTATTTCTGTACTTGACCTTGCTTTTTTCTTATAATACAGTTCCGAATGAGGAGGACTGCTTCTTTCGCAAGCATCCCAACTACGTTGTAATTGACGAATGCTTGTCTGAGGGACGCATCCCGTACACGGATTGTGAGGGCACCTGCGGCTCCAACACCCGTGTGACCATGTTGCCATACCCCAACATCAAGTTCAACTGCGGCTGCTGCAAACCCTCAAAACTTGAGCAGAATTACGTCACGATGAAGTGCAACAACGGGACCCAGTTTGTCCACCCATATTATGAGATAAAAGCTTGCTCGTGCAGCTCATGCGAATATGATCCGATGGAAACGCTGATTGCCAACCGCATCGTTTTTCCTTAGGAGGGAGTCAGTTAACCTTGTTATATATTTCTGAACAGCCTTCATTTGTCATGTTCTTTTAATCTTAACAATAAATCGCGACTTTGAAAGTATAAAGTCATGATCAATAATTTCGACTCATTCGAATGACGAGTCATTCTCTCAACTATTGTTAATTAAGAGTACAGTAAATATCATCCATCTTGTCAAACTAGCAGCATTACCGAAAGAAAGGCTGTGCCGCGCATGTTTAGTTATATATTTGTATAATGAAGCCTGAGAGTTAAATGAATACTATATGACATCAGATTGAAAAGAAATTGTTTTAAATCTTTGCTAGATCTGCATTTTTTGCTTGATTAGTTATGTTTCAAATTTGCTTTCTTGTCCTTCAATTAAGAATCGGTAAAACATAATTAACCACTGCAGGTTCTCTTCAATTGACAGGTTTCTGTAAACAAACCATATCAATTAAATTACCAATGCAAAAAATGCATGCGAATGTTTTGAAGTTGACTTTATTTACACCGATGTAATTTTTGTTTTCAATTTTTTTCAATTAAGAAAGAATGAGAGTTTCATTAGTGTTTTTGTTTGTTTACTAACTAGTTCTTCTAAAGGATGCTCTCATTAAGATGTGGGTCGTTTATGACGATTTTGTTTTTCAAACATGTTCACATGTGCTATGTAGTAGACAGTTCCCCACTTTATCTGGGAGAGATCCCATAAAAAAAGCGCATATGTAAACAAAGCCATTATGTCATTACGTCTCGGGTCTTTTGGCAGATCGAATTGTCTGCGCCACTTCTCACCAACTAGAACAAGTTTCCCCAATCAGTCTCGTACCTTGAAGTCATTGTGTCCTCTATATCCTCCCTAGTTGTCCTGCACAACCTAGGATCAAATAAGATTCTATCCCATCCAAACCGCATCGCCACATGACTCCTTTTAGTTTATTCGTCAGCAAATTATAATAGATTTTTCTCACGTTCCTTCACGAGGTTGTGAGTGTTACAAGCAGCATCAAATAAATTTACAAAAACAAAAATGATGTCCGTTTCCGTTGTTGATATCACGATACTTTTGATAATCCCTGATACTAACAGCTCATGCGAGCCAATTATTTTAGAAAACAAGGAGAGCGTGGAATAGCAAAGAACAAGCTTTTCAAGTTATTATCATAGTTTTTAAATTTATTGTACTATTTTAAAGTTATATAACTACTCAGTTGAGTTTCTTTATTTCCGTTTGAACTGATAAAAGTGCATTTTTTTTGCTTGTAGATTAAAATAAAATTACTTCTTGCAAATGAGTTCAAAGGTTAGTGTGTCGGATTTTTTTGATATCATTTAACACAAATCAGTGAACTTTTGTTCAAAAGAATGGGTACTCATCTGAAATATGAAATTTAAACTCAAATTTCATATTTCAGAGATAAGTTAACCGTTTAAAATTGAGAGCTCAGAATTCGGCGTGAAGAGTTAAAGGGTAAAGACAGTGAGGAGTAAAGGAGTACAGATCGAGGAACGAGAGTTGAAGTGTACAGATTGCAGAGTGCAGAGCAGAAATCACGAAGTACTGATTACAAACACAGAACAAGTACATGTACGGGCACACAGCACATCTATATGTGCTGTGTGCACCGTGCAGATTGCAAATTACAGAACACAAAGTGAGGAGTGCAGAAATGCGGAGCAGAGAACACAGACTACACAGTACGGGTGTACGTTGTAATAGTTACAGTTCAACTTGCTATGTGCAAATAGCAGAGTACAGAGCAGAAAGTGAGCAGTCCAGAAGTACATGGTAAAGAGTGTGGACCACAGAGTATAGATCGAGAAAATACAAAGAACAGAGTAGGGAGTGAGGAGTGCAGAGTGCACGGCGGTTGTATCTACACAGTATACAGACGGGGGCTCTTTGCTCCATACTCGGCAAGGAGTACGGGAGCAATGAGCGAGGAGAAAAGAGAGTAGCACAGCGATGCGTACAGCATTACAAAATGAGGAGTACAGAATACGGTGTAGTAAAGGATGCAGAGTACAAAGCACAGAACAGAGAGTTCTCCTGGCTCTTTGCTCTGCACTGATCTGTAACTCCAAAACCACGCACGAGAAGTATTTCTCGTGCGTGGTTTTGGAGTCGGCCTCACACGGGATGGGAGAATAGGCGTAATTAAATCCCCAGTCGAGCCATTACAAAAATGTGTTTTGTCAACGGCGTGTGCGCTGACCCTCCGAAGCCCGAGTCCTCCTTCCAATTCCTGCTCTGTCTCCAGCAGCTCAATTTTCTCTTCCATCTCAAGATGAGATGTTTTTGTGGACGGAAGTCCGTCTTCTTCTCCCTGTTTTGGCTTCTTCAAAGTAAATCAATAGATTCTTCGCCATCTTGCCTTGCCAGGTGATGTTCCTAGGTAGGTGTTTACGGTAGTGTGTCAAGAAGTTTACTGCGGCACCTATCCCACTTTTGACACCATTTGTGGCGGCCTGCGTCGACGTAGCCTGGGATTGCCCTCTGACGACCCAACGAGCGGTTGTAGGGAAGCCCGGTGAAACAGGTCTGTTTTGGAAGTCTACCGCCACGCGCTCGCAGCGGCTTCCTTTCACACTACTGGGTGTACGTACCTAGGCTGGACTCAGGGGAAGGGGGATGGGACTGGAGCCTGAAGTTCCAAGACAAGGACACTCAAACTTGAGGGTTGATTGGAGTATTGATTTATTTGTACACCAATCACCTTAATAGGATTAATTAATTAAGTGGCGCCTGTACATCAACGAAGCAGGTTTGCTTTGGACTTAAAACTTTTTAAGAAAACCGCAGATATGCCACTAGTTTCGTTGTTTTTGTTGTACAGTAAATTTCCAAACAAGGCCGTTCAGCGCCGACCCGTACGGCTGTCATGTATCGCAGCCTAAAGGTACCTTAACATGGATGGTTCTGGACAAACTTTATACTGTTGGAAAGCGGATGAATAGGCCAACCAGCATGCAAATCGGCAAGGCTCTAGACTTAAAACTTTTGGAGAAATCCGCAGATGATGCCACTAGTTTCGTTTTTGTGGAGTAAATTCCCTAACAAGGCCTGTCAGCGTCAAACCCCACGGCGCTCATGTATCGCAGTCTATAAAGGTATCTTAACCTGAACGTACTACTAGAGGTCAATGTCAACGCTGCAGACAACTTGCCCAACAAGCTCCTAGACGTTTGGTTTTACTGTCCATCATTTTCCATTAGGTTACGCCTTGTCTCTTGGCGACAAAAATGCGCTGCGAGACTCGGTTACATGTGCATGTACTTTATACGCGCCTGTACCAGAACGGCACACCGTGTTTCCCAAGTATACCGGATTTTTTTCAAAGTACATGTAGTCAAAAAACGCACGGAGCCAAAGGAGCGTTCGAATCTACTTGTATAAAGTTCGCTTCGGTTTTTATGTGAGCATCTGTGTACGAACATCGAGGTAATTGATGAAATGTTTAACATTTTAACAGTCATTGCCTCGCACTGAATCTATAAGTTACAACTTATCCTATGTGTGCATTCTTTTATTTTGAAATAGCCTATTGTCCCAACTCGGATGGCCTCTTAATTGAATTGGCCCTCAAACGGTGAGCCCAAAACGCTGCTAAAATAGGGATTTTTCGAATGCTGTCCGTTCTACAGCACATGGTGCTCAAATAATACTAGTACATTTGTTGTATAGCAAATCGACCTAGCGCATATAGCAGATTCTCCTTCTCACTGAGCCAAGCTGTCATGTCATGGTACAGTAATCACCCCCTGTACTGAGGATATATAACGCAACGATTTCCGGGAGCATAACACTGTTTACTAGTGCTACCAAAGTGTTTACTAGTGTTTTGTACACTTTAAGAACAACTTCTTAACGCAAGCGCATTTATGACTTCTAATGAAGTCATATGATACTCAAAAATTGGGCTGGCATTAAAAAAAAGTGCGCATAAAGGTTAAGAGGGTATGGCGAACAATATTTTGTATTGCACCACTGTTTTTTGTTTGTTTCTGGTTTCTTAATGTTTATCTGGAAAAAAAATCTTTTTTTTTTTTCTATTTATTTTTGAGTTGAGCATTACATTCACTGTGTAGACTTCCAAACAAAAGATGTTCACAGACCACCAGTTTTGCCAAAGTCCACAAAAGATTTCTCCCTCTCGAAAACAGGTTTAGAGGCATTTTTGAGTTAGGCTTTTTATCGGTGGCAAAATGAAGAGAAACACTAAAGGGAATCGTAGAAAAAAATTGGGTTGAAAGAGTTTTCACAGTGTGAGTAATTTTTTTTTTTCACAGGATTTTCTTTATCTACACGAAAACAAAGGAACGTCCACTCTAAGTATGTAACCTAAATATGTCTGGATGTGGAAGTGATCTAGTACACGGTACCCGCTGTGGACATGCACAATAGGGATCAAAAGTTTGTATAGGTCTCCACAGGAAAATGTCTATAGGTGAATACGTCTCCACAAGGTTTTCACGAAATATGGATTTTACTCAAAAACTAGGAACTTCCCAGATGTGTCAGTACGTCGCAAAGTATTTTATGTAAAGGGTATAAAGCCCAAATTTCAGCCCAGGAAGAAATAAATCCTGGTTAAAATGGGAGCATTTGGAAAGTACAATTTCAAACTCGAAAACTTTAGTACAATTCATGAGAGATCCCCAATTCCCGGTGTGTACAAAACATATAGGAGGTCTTCCTAAACAGTTTGAGTACAAACAAAAGGGACAATAGGGGGTTTTCCGATTGCAGGCAAATTCACACTGATGTGTGCGCACGTTTGTTTATGGTGCAAATCAAGGATACAAACGTGCAACATCTTCGTTGAATCGAGGTCAGAAACCGAATCGAGGACTCCTCAGTTGGAAAACGTTTACAAAATCAATGAGAGCTGTTGCGAATTGAGGTACAAACAAAGGAAAAGAGAACAAAAGAAAACCCTCGAATCTACACCATAAAACAAACGTGCTAGAGTTTGTCTTACAGTCACTATGGGGACATGTGAACAAAAGATGTTCATTGCAGATTGTGTTGACGTTAAGTGGACTAAGTCGTGTCCACATAACGTTTCGCCCCCTCTGGAAAACAGGTTTAGAGGGGTTTTCGGGTTAGGGCTATTAGTTGCGAAAGAAGAGAAACATTCAAGGAAATCAAAAAATTAACAAATTTGGGGTTGAAAGAGTTTTCACAGTTTAGGAAAAGTTATTTTTTTTGTACCGAGTTACTACACGAAAACAAAGGAATGTCCACAAACAATGTAAAACAAGCAAACTTGCGTGTGTGGGTGAACGTATTAACACTGCTTATGAACAATGGGAGGTACCCCACACGGAATGCCCACCGACTTGCAGGGTACCGTTTTGGTACCCCACAAGTTTTTCTCGAAAAAGATAATATTATTATTAAATAAATAAACATTTATTTGAATTAAAAGAAGCCAACAGGCTGAAAACATTCAAACTTACAACGGGTATTTTAGTTAAAACTACCTAAAATACAATCAATACATCTTTAAATTGTAAATTAAAAGGTACAAATCATAACGGGAGACTTCTAAGACTTGCTAAGATAAGACATTGCTGATTAAACTGAGTGTGAAACTATTTACTCAAAAACTAGGATAAATCTTCTCTCTAACTTGAGAAATACTTAACCTATGAACTTCAAATTTGGTTTGTGTATTGTTCTTGGCAATCCTAAGAAGCCTAAAGCATTTGGGGCCGAAAGGTCAAGGATCAAGGTAACAGAGGCTAAAACAATAGAAATCTTGTAGTTATTCTAAGATCATAAGATTAATTCATATAAAACCTACAGAAAACACTAATGCTGTCAATGAACGTTCCATGTGACCACGGTACATGTAAGTTGATGCTAAAAGAGTGGTGTTATGTCATGGGAACAGTCACGGTTGCGGGGCATTTGTGTTTGTTAACACACCTGACTTGTTTGATGATTTCTGTCATTATGACGTCACACATTTTATTCAACTATATACACACCATATGTACGCATACATCCATGACTTACCAAACCTATTATAAGATATGAAAAGAACTCTGAATTAAAGGGATACTGCATCCTGGAATACGCCCAATTGGGCTACAAAATGCATTTTGAATGAAATGATGTTTATAGAAAAGAACATTTAAAAGTAGGATATATACATAGTTACACAATTATCCTTTAGAAACTTGGCGTTTTTGTAGTATTCTTGTGCTATTCGTGCGAGAATGACTTTCGGGGTCCACTTTTGCAACCCCAAAATATTGGGCTGCTCCTGCTAGTTGTGATTCCAGCC